AAAATCGGGCTTCGTGTTGACAGTATTATTCGTTGACCGTTGTCACCATTATTTGTGTACCTACTTTTATATCAGTCAGATCATCCGTGTGAGTAACAACACTTATGTATTAAAGGGGAAAATACTATTTCGTAGAGATTTTCAGAAGTAGCTATTCATAGTGTATTTCCACCGTGCGACGATGTGAAACATTCCATGGAATTTGAGCAAGAAAATGTTTTAATTCCTGCAGCGAGATATAAATGATCGTTTATTTAGTCGCTATTTAGAAAGAGGTAGTTTGGGGTGGCTGTACTGAAAGAAAATTTTATTTTAAGTGTACACTTGATAACATGTGTATTTAGGTGTATTTAGATTTTTTGTCAAAAATCACTTGGTTCATGGAAATTGTTTCTTTCAAACCTCGTTGTACACATTTTATATGGTCACCGTTTTGAAAAACGCAGGCCGAGGTGACTGTTGTCAACGAAAACATATTTACAATTGTCTTCTTAATAACATTTATTACCTTCACGGAAATGTGAATAGATGTTTTTGCTGGCAATTGCTCATTAAAGTTCACTTAGTTAATGAAAGTGGCGCTTTCTTTATTTCCCACTACATTATATAAACTTAGTAGCAGGGCGAGGCGGCTGTCATTAAGTGAACATTTTTATAAATTTTCACTTAATAACATTAATTTCACGGAGTCCCATGTGGTGGCGAGGATTCTCTTGTCAAATTGCTGCCGTAACTACTAATAGTAGCTGTCCGCTACTCTTCCGCCTAGAAATTCCTTCCATCCTTCACAATTTCTTCCCAGTCGCCCCTTGGAGAGGCGCGGAAACGACTGCAGATACTGCCGTGTCACAGCCCGGATTAAGGAAGAGGGCCCATGGTGTGGCATTTCCCCATCTTTCTTGTGCCTGCTACCTTCGAGTATTCTATTCTCTCACTCCCGACCCCGATGCTATTAGGCTCCGAGAGCTGGGGAGTCATTCACTTTCTCGTGTTTTCTTTCCATCTACTTGTGTCTAATTTCTTACTACTCTACTCCTCCTCTAATTCCTTTATATCCTTTCTTGTCTTTCTTCGAAAGAACATAGAGTTCTTAGCCCTGAGAAGGCAGTCTGCCTAGAGGATATCGCCGCGCTCGGATACTGAGGCGGCAGCCCCGCCATTGAGCCCCGTCTGCGCAGCTGCCGTAATGCGGCCAGGGGCCTCTGAATGATTGATTAGTGATTCATGGCGCGTCAACTGCTAAGGTCATTAGTCCCGTTAGTGTGATGCATGCTTTATAGCGGGAGGTGGTGGTGATCGTCCCTCCGGAATGGCGAGATCGGCTCTAATAAACCCAAAATACACACTGGGTAGTTTAAAAAACTGTTTTTCCCACCCCTTCGGAAAGGCGAGCTTCCAGTGCACTTTTTTTATCATGGAGAAAGCGTATTTTAGATGAGTTCGTTCCTTTTTCTGATCTATGTGACCGAATCGAAACCCAAACGAATCGTTTAATTTTTGGCGGTATTAAACCTACATGGCATTTTAAAAAGTTTCTTTATCTTAGCAGAGTGCTCGCTATTTTGTCTTGATTAGAGGATTTTTTGAAAACAAGAAATTGCCATACTTGTGTACTTCCAGCCATTTGGCCCTGAACATTTTGCAACAGTTTTATGAAATATTGGATCTAGGGATTTTAATAAATGTTACAATGTTGTACGGCATTTAGAGGGTGAAGGTGATTATTTTAAGCCAATGAAATGTGGTGGGAAATGTAACGAAGCTGCACATGCACCATTTACCCTTGATGGTTTCATTGTGCTCTGTTTGACTGTGTTTCTACGCAGTCTATGTGATTTCGGGTAGGTACGTGGGCAATACCAACGCAAGATACCATCATAGGCAAATACACTACGTCGCGGAAATAATTTCGTATCATTAAATTTCCCACCACAAGTTCATTGGCTGAAGGTTATTATGTCTGCCCTCCCTACATGTTGAATAAGTTTGTAACTGTTATATACGTAAATGGTACAGACACTTTAAGTCTTGGTTGTACGAATGAAATGCAGCCATCTTAAAATGAGAACGCCAACTTTCGTAAGTGTTGTGTTTATTTTTAGCACGAATTCATGGACACTTTCAAGTATATAGTCTTGGGATCCTTCTCAGTATGTGAGGCGCATCCAGGTTGATTCGTCAACGCAGTTTTATTTACTTTGAGTAATCAGCTGTTTTATATGGCCATTTCTTCAATGCGGCATACATCCGGCAGTGTATTTTGACGCATAGTAACCCTGTGTAAGCCTGACCAGTGATAAAAGTCAAGAGGGATGACTGGATTAATATCAGTTAGTTATGATTTATATTAATGAATTTAGATACTAGTGATAGCTCTTGCTTTCTCGCCTTTAGTTATTGATATGTTGTAATATTTATACGACAATTTCTCTCTTAATTACCTCATTTCAGTCATCATTTTTTGTAAAACTAAACTCATTACAAATCGTAAACATTTTATGCGAAAACTAAATATTTTCAAACAAACATGAACACAAATTTGACAATTGTAACTGCTTTTCAAACAGCTAAATCATTTTTCAACAATGAGACGTAATTCACAGAAATTCAGCTGCCGAGTCACTGCGCGGAATGCCATTGCTTCATTTCAAATAGGTTTTAAATAATATCTGAAAGATTAATTTGCAAACGTGTAAAAAATGCTCTAATGTAAGAAAAGAACAAAGAAATATGAAATAATATACAAATTCTAACTTACTTAGCATCCAAGTGCGTGGAATTCTATTACGAAGGTTACCTTTTATGTTTCGGGATTTGGCAACCCTGGTGTTGCAATATGGCAATTGACAGCTCTATAGTAAAGTTGGATGTTTTTAGGTTATACGTACTCAAAACGATTTGACATACCAGCGCTCTTTGTGTTGTTTACAGTAACTTAAAAGATTCATCTTGGCCCGAAAATGGAATAAAATCGTGACTATTTTCGTGCGATTATTTTTGACAACTTTCGACGTGGATTAACTCTGCAAAAGTGCATGGATGAACTTAATTCAATTTTTGGCGATGAAGCTCCATCAAGGACCAGTGTTTATCGATGGTTTGGTGAATTCAATCGTGGTCGTTCACTCCAAGACGAATTTCGCGAAGGTCGTCCAAAATCAGTTCTTGTTCCGAAAACCATTGATGCTGTCCGTGAGCTGATCGTCGTGTGACCTATCGTGAGATTGAGACAACCTTAGGCAATAGTGAGACCAGCATACATTCAATATTGCATGAACATTTGATTGTCAAGAACATTTGTTCGTGTTGGATCCCACTCAATTTGTCAATCGCTCAAAAAAAGGTTCGTGTCGATTGGTCGAAAGAAATGCTCAAAAAATACGGTCGCGGTGCTTCGAAACACGTCTATGACATCGTAAAAGTGATGAATCGTGGATTTACACGTATGAGCCCGAAAGTAAACAGCAGTCGAGTGTATGGGGGATGAGCAAAATCCAACAAAAGTTCGTGCACGAAGCACTTCTGCACTGCAACTGGACATGTCGCAACCGTACCACTATAACAACGCAGAACAGTCAATTCTGAGTGGTACACAACGATTTGTTTGCCAGCTGTCTTCCAAGAAATCAGGAAAACCAACCACCGAAGACGGATCACTCTTCACCACGACAATGCGAGCTCTCACACATCGGCTGAAACAACTGCATTTTTGAGCGCTCAAAACATCGATTTGATGAGTCATCCGCCGTATAGTCTTGACTTGGCACCGAATGACTTCTTTTTATTCCTGTACGTAAAAAACAAACTGAGAGGTCAACGTTTTTTCGACACCTGAAGAAGCGGTTGCTGCATTCAGAATGCGTGTTTTGGAGGTACCTCAATCAGAGTGGCAAAAGTGCTTCGATAATTGGTTCAAACGCATGTTCAGAGCGGATGGTTATGTTTGTCGCTAAATTATACGAAAAATACTCATATTAAAAAGAAGCGCCATGTCCATATTTCGTTAAGAAAAAATTACATCTTCACAATTGTAGTTGTAGGAAGACAGGCTGACCGGTTTATGTGCTAGCGTTGTGCACAGACAGATGTTTTGCTTTCAATCGATTTTTTGGTATGAAGGACACACAACACATGGATTCTGACTACTCCACGTGTTAAAGGTTTCCCTAACTTCAGCAACTAGATTTATCAATTTTTTTTGTTAGTAACAAATTACTTTGTAACAACTGTTAGTGAACTAGCGTTTATGTATTAACTACTATTGTTTTTAATTGTAATAACTAGAACCCGAAAGTTTGGCAAAATGCCTTTTCATAATTATTACGATTTTATGACTTTTTACAATAGGAATCACTTAATCGGACTTCTTGTGTTGTTTTAGTAGATTTTCATTTTGCGTTTCTTGCCTATTTTAGATCCTTAAGCCTATTTTTGGCATTATTCCTTATTTGTTCCAATTTCTTTCCTATTTGTGGCCTTTTCTGCCTTTTTCGTTATTATTTTTACTTTTTTCTGCCCTTGCACCTATCTCTACCAAGTTGGTAACATACATCCTGGACAACATAAAGACAGGGTCGCGAGTAAAATAAATTCGTATTCGTCAATCGGATGATCCAAGTGCGATCAAAATTTCAAAATGTTGGTTACTTTCCACGTTAGTTCCAATGTAAATTGTATAGTTAAAATAAAAATGTGCATCATTTAATTATTCATTTTTTACACTAATGACTTTTAAATGTGATTTTTTTAATTTATATTGTGTTTTCTCTCCTACTTTAGCTATAACAAATGTCGTTTTTACATGACTATTTTAGTAAAAATAAATGTCTTTTTACCTGTCTATTTTAGGTAAAATAAATGCCTGAACTTCCGGGCTCTACTGACAACTATGTGTTTTCATATGTGTTACATACTGGAGAGGATCTCTCTCTTGAGACCGAATCGTCGATTAATAAAAAAATACATTCTGTCCGGAGTCTCAGTGTGTTGTGTGTGCGCAGCTGGAGCCGGGTGCGCAGGCGCCGCCCGAGGGGACCATGCGAGCGGCGCTGGGCGCCGCCTGGCGGTGGGCGCTGCTCGTCTCGCTCGTCGGCGTCATTGACGGTGAGTGCAGCTCAAGCGGCCAATGACGGGCTACGATGGACGCACGTGGCGGCACGTGGACGTCCGTCATATAAGCGTCACACGAGCGTGCTGCGCGGAGTCACTTGAAATTAACGTCCGTTACCTAGCGGATAACGAACGTCAAAAGTTAGCCGACATGCGGGACTCCTTAACACACGTTGCAGCTTTAGTAGGATATGTTTTGATGTTGGTAAACTGCGTTGTGACGGACATTAGCTATAAAACACGTTTATATATAAATGCAATTGAAATAGAATAGACGTAAAATAGAAGAAGTCAAAAGCGCCCGTGTCATCGGCACTCAACATTTTATAACAAAAAATAAAAATGCCTGAACCTTCACCCTTCTGATCGAAAACAAGGTGGAAAAAAAATCATCACTGTCTTCTTCCAATCGACCAAAAGTATGGAAGCAATTCAGAATATAAATAACGTTCATTATTTATACCACTTCCGTTTTCCATTGGTTAGCAGTTTCACTCGCTTATAACCGTCAATTAGTGATTTCATGCCATACATTTTTGTTAAGTATTTACCGGCGATCACCATCAATTCATTGCGAAAACCGAAGTCTTTACCTATCGTACGTCCGCAGAAACAACGCACGTGCTTTTGACGACGTCTGGTGCGCGACATTCGCATGGCATTAGCCTTAGACCACGTTTAAGCTTCTGCGCATGCACCAACTTCATTGATTGATTGATTGATTAGTGATTCCGGGCGCGTCAGTAGTATGGGCGGTCATTAATCCCGTAATGTATGGTTTTTGCTTGAGACGTGGCGGTGTCTCTCCACGCTGGATGGTGAGATCAGGCGGCTACCGGGGTTTTCCCCGATCAGGTATTTCCACCAGTGGGGCCCCGCCACAGTCGGGACAAGCTCTAAGCTCGCTGCCGGTCTCCTGGTTCGTGTGGTAGTGTTGTGCATGGAAGTGTGAGTAAGGGGTAGGAAAAGAGAAGGAATGGGAAGGAAAGGTCGCGCTCGGCCCGTATCCCTTTTGTTAAGGTACTACTCCGGCATTCGCGTGATATTATCGGAGAAACCACGGAAAACTATCGATCACAGCAGCCGGCCTCTAAAATTTCTCTCCAGACAGCTACTGAACTCGCACTAGCTAGTGTCGAAAATCCTGCTACCGTCGGGGCTCGAACTTATGACCTTCCAGTTAATCATTGCAGCGCCATCAGTTGGTTCCCTGAGCAACCTCTCGGTGCGCACACTCCCAACTGAGCGGATAGGGGAGCCCGAAATTCAACCTGATTTAGCGGGCTCCTCATACCAAATTAATTCGAATATGAAGCGACCATGTCATGCTTTACGGAATTAGATCCCAACTGTTGCAGCGAAGTGTACTCCTAACTATATTCCCATTCTTTCACACATGCGTGCCAAATATTTAAACAAACAACTTAGAACTGGTTTGGGAAAATACTTGTTTAAAAATTGTCCAAATTTCATCCAAAATTACGCGAAAACTACGGATCATTTCGAAAGCAAGTACATGGCTTTATTTCAAGTTCTGACGTTGTTCAACAGTTTTATTAAGGAAAGAAATATCTTTCTCCAGTATTGAATTTGTACGAAGACACCGCAAATAATTTTAAACTTTTGCAATTTTTGAAAAATGAAGGATTTTAATGAAAATGAGACCGGTCTCGTTTTTCTAATCGTCTATTTACGTTATCTGAGTATACAGTTTAATCAGAAAATTTGGAATATTTTTTTAAGAATTATGAATTTTTTTTAATATCCCTCACGTCGTTAATATTTACATTACGGGCCATTTGTACTCATTATTGCATTTGAGAGTACAGATTGTCGATTGGCGTCTCACAATGTTTCTCGGAAGCTAAAAAAGATGTGTCAAAAGGAGATTAAAATTCTGCATTTTCAGAAAAGTTCAAGAATTTTCGAATTAAATCGAAGAAAACGGCTCATTTTTTTCTTTAAAATTTGTCTACTGATAGTGCCAAGTGCACTGTATATAAGATGTGAACGATTCTTTGCTACACTTTTTTAAAAATGACTCACGTGTTTTTTAAATATCTCTCACGTCGTTAATATTTACATCACCGGCGATTTGTATGCATTATTGCATTTGTGAGTACAAGTGATTCAAATTATTTTCAATGAAGTTTTTCGAAAACCCAAAAGCTTTCTTTGAAAAAGAGCTTCAAGGTGAACGTTTTTAGAAAAGCTCACAGTTTAATTATATTTGCGTTAAATAAGTGAATAAACGTAAATAAGTAAATATAAATATATCACCAAAATTATGAGAATTACCCTATTTTAAACGCAGTATTAAAATACCGCAGTTTCTTACCACATTAACCTCAGTCTGTACTTGTGAACTTTTCACAAATCCTAGAACATAGCTGTGAAAACTAATTCTTTTATGGTTAATATGTCAACAGAAATTCGACAACTGAAACTGCGTATCTTACATCTATAACATCTGCCAAGCAAGAAAGGAATTCTCGGAATTTAAATCACGGCAGGCGGACCATTGCTAATTTCATTCTGATAAATTCTGAAATTAGGGAAAGGAGAGCGCGGAAAATTCTAATTTTCGAATTTCACAAATCAACTTAACCATCAATATTGTAATATTGCAATGTTAAGTTTTTTGTTGCTTGCTATTTTAGTATATACAGAGTTCGCCAAATCATTTTCACCCAATACAGGGAAAAATTGAGAAAACGCCTCTTGAGCTATTTTTGAGAAAGGGATTGCTTAAAAACGTTTCACAGTTGCCTGTTACACGCAAAAGTATTTTTTTTTAAATTGAACGTGGCATTTGAAGATCTGATTTTAACGCACACATTATTTCATTAGGGAAAATTTTCTAACTTCATTGTTGTAGAAGTAGAGAAGACGCCGAAAAAAGTTTGAACTTTTGCAATTTCATAAATTCAGATGTCAACGAAAATGTGACCCACACCATTTCTTTAAGCATTGTTTAGTCTATCCGAGAACAAAGTGTAACAAGACAAAATTTGGGCAATAATTGAGAAAATCGTGAAAACGTAATTAAGTCATCATGTAAAATACAAGCAAAACCAAAACATTCGTTTCAAGCGCGCAGGCCCTGGAATTTGTTTAAATCGAGTGGGGAATGAACGTTGGAGAAAATTCTTCATCTTCTTATTTAAAGATATGTTTTTGATGAACATATTTCATAAAGAAAAAAACTATTTTATATTTGTATGAAGACGCCAGGGTTTTTGCTATTTTCAGATAGTAAGGGATTTTACTGAGAATTATTTCTGTAAGTGTTCTTCACGCTATCCGATAGCAAAGTTTAATCCGAAAATTTGGAGTCATTTTTGAGAAAATTTCGAAAATGGTTTTGAGTTTTCATGTAAAGTATCAAAATTCAAAATATTCGTTTCAAAGTAGAAGGACCTTGAATTCGTCAGATCGATCGGGGAATATCAATTTTGGAGGAAATCGGCTGAATGGCTTAGGCGTTAGCGTTGACCACAGAGGGACAGACTTATTTGCCATCAGTTGAGTTTTCAGTCTCAAGGACCCAAACATTTGGATTATCACATCACAATGTGTTAGAGGAAGACATTTACTAAATACAGAAGCAAGATTTATCAACTTTTTATTTTCAAGAGCCCGGCAATAAAAACGTTTCTGTCGAGATGTCGCCTTCTACCCCCGCAGCATAACAATACTTTCTTTATACTGAGTAAATATTACATGAGAAAGTAATAATTTGAAACATTTTAAAAATATTTATTATCTGCTCTAAATCATGAATTAAATATATTACTTTTTTTAAGGTTGCTTTTTAACTACTAGTTCATTTAGCGAACACTTTGATTGTTTACATTTGGGTAACGGCAGGGGGAATACGATACGAACGGACAACAGAAGCACACCCAAACATCCGTGGCCGAGGTGGGATTCAAACGCGCGACCCTTCGAACCGAGGTAACTACGTCCATACAGCCTTAGCGACCTCGCCTATCCAGGGCGGCATATTAATTTCTGTTTAGTTCGTCATCAATTTATTCAGCTTTCTTTACAGATAGAGCTGATACAAATTCTTACCCAGCATTTCAAACTTCTTTTCACTCCAAAAGCTACCGCACTCTCATGCATTTCTTCGCCTTTATTTCCTCTATTTTTAATTGCTTATTATCCTTGTTCGACAAAATTCTGCTTTTCAAGGGTTTTCAGGTTACATAGTATACATAATCGGTTTTTGAACTACATTACTTCGTACATGAACAATGTTTGAAAACAATGATATTATAAATTAACTACTAAGGATACCCAGGAAGGGTCTTTCAGAAAAATACATAAAATATTTTGAGTACAAAATATATTTTGAATTTGGAAATGTATTAACCCCTTAATTTCCTCAGCTTTCCTTCTTTTTAACATCCCTCCTCTCCGATCACATCCCCACTATCTCTTATATAATTTCTGTAGTCTAACCTCCGATATCCTATCATTTACTCTCTTTCCTCAGTACTCCCTCTCACCTCGCCCTTCAGGCACGTCTCCACACCCAATTTCAGCTATTCAATTCTTCTCGCAACTCTCACTTGAATTTTACCTTTCTGTCTCCCCTTGTTGCAACCATCCCTCGTCTAATCCGTCTAATCTAATGGCATTATCTACTGCCTTGTCTTCCATTCGCTTGCTCCCCACCAGATTTATCATGCCACCATTCCCTATGAAACTTAGGTCCACTGGTGACCTGCAATAGAACAAACAAAAGCACACAAAATGGTTTTCCAAAATAGCGCCACGCTACTTAAGAACAACAAATAAAATACTGTAGTATACAGTGGAGTAAAGTGAGTGTTACCGCCGAGGGAGAAGGAAACTTTCGCTACCTCCTTATTTATGTATTTCAGTTTATAAGATATAAGATACTTAGATATAAGATATACTAGATTGAACAACGTATCAGATAGTCAAACACAATTACATGAATAAAAATCGTAAAATACTTAATG